CATGCCAAGTGCAGTCCAAGGACAAAAACAACACGTAAGTGCCTTGCATAATAGACATAATGCCGTAATGTGTGTATATAATATGTAGCATAATGACAACAGCCCTCTTCTCATTGAGTGAGTACATATGGCTATGAGATTTTATTATTGTACAAAACCCACTTGTAAGGAAACCTCCACGGTCCACCACTCCAGTGACTGCGAACCAGAAGTGGCAAGGACCCCTGTGCTCCACTAGAAGAAAGAGGAGGGAAGACACATGGGGGGGGTCTGGAGGTACTACCCACCGGAGACAGTGCAATATATACATATCACCGGAAAAGCGTTCGGTGGTCTTAACAGAAACACCCCATCTCCACAGTGAGCTTTAGAAAGAAGAGTAAGTGCTAGTATAAAATGATTTAGCATACCTGACCAGGCAACACCCACCACCAAGTGGAATCCAGAAATGCAAAGGAAAACAAGTGTTTCAGAAATGGTAAATAAAAAGGATGCATAAGTGTAACAAAAATGCTAACTTACCTCAGTTAAAGGGAAACAGATATGTAGAGAATCACCATAGGAGGAAGACGATACCTGACCAAGAAGGATACAGCAATATTGTGCAACTAATGTGTGACAAATGTATTGAGAGTTGTCAACATTCCCGCTAGTACAATCTCCTCCAAAGGACAGCAGGTCCGAGTAGCTAAAGACAAAGTAACATGTCGTATCTGGGGCAACAACACATTAAACAGCCAACAATCTTCCATCAACAAGTCAGAATAAGCTAAACTGATGAGTTGCCAAACCCAGCCAGTAAGGGTAACAGAAGAAAGATCATGGGAAACAGAGGGATCCCAGTGTATAAAAAGGCAATAACAGGAACCCCGAAAGGATTCAGTTCAAGACATATAACAACAAAGGGAAGACGATTGGGATCAGAACGGGAGTATAAATGGGAAACAGAAGGGCCCGACCAAGATGGGAATTGAAGAGGACCCCCAAGTGAATGAGGTATTGAGTGGGAGTGAGAAAGGACTTCTCCACCATAATGAAAAACTCCACCCCAGCAGACTCCTAAAGAAGGAAGAGGGTGTGATTGGCAGATTGAGATCGAGAAGAGGCAAGCAGGAGTCAGTTGTCTATGTAAAGATGAGTCTGAAGACCCAGTGAATGAAGATAACATGAAAAGGCATGGACAACCTGACAGAACACATAAGGATCCAAGGCAAAACCAAACGGTAGTGCACAGAACTGGAACACATCCTCCCCATGGATGAACCGAAGATAACGACGCGACTCCTGAGGAATGGGGATATGAAAGTAAGCATCTGTCATGTTAAATTTGGTCATCCAAAGACCCGGGAAAAAAACCACTGAAAAGAGAGGTAGAATGAATCCATGGTGAAATTGGGGTGTGTCCAGAAAGGTATTCAGCCAGGATGAATCGATAAAAAATCTCCAATCTTCTATCTTTAGGGGGACAGCAAACAGACGGGAGTAAAAACCCGGACGAACAGGCACTACACGTTTTATAACCCACTTGTGAAGAAGATAGAGAACTGACTCCACTAGACAACTGGACAAGACACGATCCCGAGAAGGAAGAAAAGATACTGGGAAAGAGGACAGGTGAGGAGGGGACTGGAATTGATTGCATAGACCCTCTGTCAAAACCTGTAACACCCATGTAATCATCATGAAGAATTTGCAGATGGTGAAAAAGAGTTGTAACCTGGCCCCCACTTGCCTGTGGAAAGACATCCCTTCACCAATAATGGTAAGGCTGAGAGGAATGGGAAGAGCAAAAGTAAGGAAGGGAATGTCAGGAGTAGGGAAAAGGGCAGGGTGAAGAAGAAGGAGCACAGAAGATTCAAACGGGCAAAGATTGAGTAGAATCAGTAAGGCAAGACAAATGAGAAGTAAGGGAGGACAAAGCAGAATGCAATCTTGTCACATTGACCCAGGGCCTCCAAAAACTGAGGAAGACACCCAAAGACCGTTTCGCTCAGAAACGGGGCCTGATGAAGTTCCTGTAACGATGAAAGGGAGAGACGCACACCCGCAAGTAATGTATCCCTCCTGAGTAAATCCCAACAACATAAAATCCAAGTGGTGAGGGAAAAGGCTGAAGCCAACAACCAGGCCATATAGACCACAAAAGGGTCCTGAAATCAGCTGATTACTGATCAGAAGACTGGTGGAAAGCCTGAGACAACAACAAGAGGAAAGAACACGTAAAAGATTGGTCAATGTAATGCAAATCGTAGTAAACTGGGACCTATTAAAATGAACCAAGGCATCACGATTAGAACCCCATAAGGGAAGGAGAGGATCTAAATGCTAAGAATCCAAATAAGATCCGAGGCATGTTGGTGAGCAAAAGAGAATTGGTCTGAAAGCTGAGGGGGACGAAGCATACCCACTCTCTACTGTACTTGAGAAGCAAAACATTGAGCATGAACAAGAATGTTGAGAGAGGGAGGAAAATAATAATAATTGGAACAAGTCTCTTCTCCCAGTAAGGAAGAAGTAGAAAAATCAAGGGCTAAAGGGGAGATATGTAAAATTTGACAAACCTGATCAATAAGGTGTAAGAAAGGCATGGTTGCCAGACTTTCCTGACTGTCAGTTATGTGACTGGCCAAAAAAAACTGGGGCAAGAAAAACCGAGTCGAAATTGTCCTCCCCTGACGAAGAACTTCCTCACGAACGGAACGAGCAGAAAAACAGCGAAAGCATCCAACTCTCACCGAATTAATGTCTGAATTAATTCGCTTGAAGGACAACTGAAAACACACGTATAAACACTGTGTACCAATCGAGAAAGTGAGGATTGTGCTGCAATGGTAGAGGGAACTACCTGAGCTAGTACAGAGGGTGCAATGGGAGTGGTGGATGGTGGTCACATGTTGCTGAAATGACTCAAAAAATATATGGGCATAAAAGACTGGTGCGCTGTTCAGAAGATTTACCAATGTCTAGAGGGCAAATGAAGGTCGAGATAGCTGTGGGGGAGGGGAGGTAGTACCGTTTTGGAAGCTCAGTTGCTCACCAGATGGCACTACTTCCTGAAGGAAAACAACAAAAAATGGGGTGAGGAGATCATTCATTCCCTGAACATAGCCACTGGCAGGATGACGAATTGCCCATATATACAGTATTCTCTCAAAAATCTGAAAACAGTGGACAAAGTGTAGTTAATAAAGACAAGCTAGTATATTAAAAATATTTACAACTATAGACTTCACATCTTTAATATGGTATGCACTTACAGACACAGGGTTGCAGAAAAGTCTACTTTTTAAAAATTTCTCTCAATACTTTACATGCAATAAATATATCATCGAATACATAAAAATCATTTCATTACTTTAATTAAAACAAACCATATTAATATGTCATTTATCACAATAAAGTGCATAAATAATGATTAAATTAGTGTCATCAAAAGGAGCAAACATCTGTTAGTGAAATCTGTATATCAATTACCCTAACAAAACTGTGCATGCAAATAGTGGCCATTTTCAAAGTGAAGAACATACATAATCCATGACTAATCATAAGAAATATATGTGTGGTTTAAAAAACATGCTATTAAAATCACAATGCTGGGATGCCATGCATTTGCAACATCCAGTTTAGAATTAGCTTTAACCCTATTATTATTATTAATGAAACCAAGTTTGAAGTTGAAATAAGACACCTGACTGACAACACTGTTAGCATACAAGCACATCCAACTCTTCTAAGTTTCAAAATGTTCTTAACATCTCTACACACTGGTTGTTAAGGATTATATGTATATTGTCATAAATAATTTCAAATATAAAGTACAGACACAAGAACAGGGGTCAAATGGTAACTTGAGATGTAGAGATCCATTTTTCTTATTGTTTCTTGCTATATAAATCATAATCACTGATTTTATTTGTTAGTTTCAGATACTTGCACAAAGCTGAACAAATGATACACTGGGGAGAGAGCAAAAACATCCATTGCCATTTCCTGGGCTACTCTAATTGAATATTAGGATTGGACTGTTATTCTTATAATTCACTCATGGCCAAAAAAGTGGAGCATGATTTTGCAGCAAAAGGATGTAAAGTATGGACCCCAGATTCAAAGTCCAGCATGCTAACCAATGTGCCATACCTAGTCTGGATATTAATTTGATACTTCAGTTGAAGCATATAAATTATCATTTTTAGATATTTTTCATCACAGTTAATATGTAGTATAATATACAAATTAATGAATATAAATTTATGAAGAAATTTGAAAAAATAAAACAAACTGAACATGTGTAAACTACACAATCAAACAGCCTTGTCAGGGTTTTATGTATATGTGAGCTAAAGATTCTTCTACAATAGGTGTCTGTGACTTGTTGGCGATAAATTCGACAATAAATGGACAGCACACACTCCTCTTGTTTTAAAATAATATATTCCAAACAAGTCAAACTATGTACAAAAATTCTTTACACTATGGATATCACAGTTGTATCTCAAACTCTAAATAATTCTCTTTTCTTGTCAGAAGTCCACTTAGGGTGATTCAATTACTTTAGAATCCAATTGACAAGATGAACTATTTTTCTCTGCTCTTATCCAATAATATCAGTGAATAATTCACTTACATTACCCTGTGGGTTACCACAGTTGTATCCTGAGCTTCAAATAATTGTCACCTTTTCATCAAAGTCCACACAGACGGGTTCAATTACTTTAGAACACCCTTTGACCAGACAAATTATTCTCCTTATCTCTGTTAAACTCACTTTAAAATACCGCCCATTACGGATAATCACTCACACACACCGACTAACTTCACATTTTCTCTCGCTAACTAATTTTCTGATTGAACTGCACTTGACTGAACTTTCTTCTTGACTTGATTTTTTCTCTACTGTCTAATTAACTTGCACTTGCGAGCCACATATATATATATATATATATATCTGTTCATTGAGGTCTTGAATTTTTGACAAACTAAGCGAGCGGCACTGTAAGGTAACGAAAAAAATTCAAGTAACTTGGCATCAACGATACTACAACAATTGAACCACACACACAACATACGACTCTTACCGAGTTACACAACCAAACTTGTCATAACTATCACCTTTAAAATAATTACTTTTAACTCTCTCTTGTTATGAAAAGTAAATAATCATTAAACATAAAATTACCAAATAAACTAAATAATAACTCACACACCAACTAACTTTATATTTTCTTCTGCTAACTAGTTTTCTGACTGAACTGCAGTTGACTAAACTTTCTTCTTGACTTGACTTTTTTCCCAACTTTCTACTTAACTTGTGCTCGTGAGCCACACACACACACATATATATATATATATATTCCTGTTCACTGAGGCCTTGAATTTTCAACAAACTAAGCAAGCAGCAATGTGAGGTAACAATACTCACTTAAGATAACAAGGAAAATACCAAAGATTTCACTAACTTGGCATCATCAATACTACAACAATTAAACCACACACACATAACGTACGACTCTTACCGAGTTACGCAACAAACTTGTCACAACTATCGTCTTTAAAATATTTACTTTTAACTCTCCCTCTTGTTATAAAAAGTAAATAATCATTAAATATTAAATGTTCAAATAAACTAAATAATAATGCCTACACTAAACAGTTTTGTATATCCAACAAGCCTCCATTACAAACACTACAGAAATCACAAAAGCTCCACATATCCACATTGCATTGCTTATGTGACAAGAAATGTGGTGAAAAAAAAGTTTTATAATAAAACCCTACAATCAAATGAGTTCAATAATAAATGCATCTATGATGGAGAAGCTACAACTTCCAATTAACAAAACAACTTTATGCATTCCTTCTATGCTAAGAAAATACGTTAAGTTTTAGTAATCCTAACTTAAGGTTAATATTTTCTTTAGTTTCACTCAGAATATATTCATATTTCTAGAAAATCCTTGATTAGACTGCTATTCATGCTTTAAAAATATAGATTTATACCATTAATACACAGATAATATGTTCTCATGACCAAACAGGTTGTGGAATATAAACTTTATAAATCACTGATGGGGAAAAAGTATATACTTGGTTATTAATAACCATAATTAACTAATTACCCTAATGATAAGCCAAAGTAATTTATTATTGATTTTCTTTTTATAAATAGTTGAGATACTTAAATAGATTAACCAATATATATATATACATAACTGTTTCTACTCAGAACATTTTTCACTATCTGATTACTTTTTCCTACATAACCGTGATTAGAATAATTTTACAACTGGCTTACAAAATTCTCTCCCTTAAATTTTATGCGAGTCATATAAGTGAAAACTAAATAGTTAAAAACCTCAGAAATAAAATCTGTACAGATCCAGTCTGAATAACTAGCAAAGATACTTTTGTACTATTTTCTTATCTTAGTCAATAACATTATAACTTCTATTGAAAACTCAAGAAAAAGGAGAATATAAATGGATAAATATAAATGCTAATTGCCACTAGGTGAAGTAATAGAACTGCTTTCACAGAAAATAAACCAAAGAGTGGCTTCTAGGCAGATTTTCAAAGAGTTTACCAACTACGCTTGTTTACTAGACATTTTAAATCACTTTCTTCTGACACTGTTCAATTGTAACAAAGCTACTGAAAATAAAAATAACATACATTTGTTTAATTTAAGATATATTAAATATTTCTCATAAATAGTAAGACTATTTAGAAGACAAATTGTAATATATCATGTTCCAAACTTTGAAATAAATGAATATTTTAAGTTAAATAAACATTGCAACATATTATACTTCAAACTTTGGCAATTTAACATATAATTAAAGATATTGTTCAGTGATATAATGTTTTTTGTACTTCATTTGATAGCTCAAATACATGGGTGTAAAGCTTGAAAAAAAGAAAAGGAGTAGATAATATTTAGGATGTGTTATGGAATTTTAATACTAATAATTGATGTGTGAATACAGTGTGTTTAAGTAAATTAAGCAGAGTTTGTTAGTTAGTGTACTTATTTTTATAGGCCCCAGGTGAGATCAGGTAAAAAAATTATAGTTATTTGATCCATAAAACTGGATAAACTTAATGAAATAACAGATCGTTCAAAAAGCTTGGGAAGTTGGCAACCAAATTATTCATAGACTTTCTTCATGGTGTCTAATTTTATACACTTTGACGCTTTCACAGGATTAAAAGTTAAAATGTATAAAATATTTACATGAAATTATAGCATCAATTAAACTTTCTTTTTAAAATCCACATTTAAATACCAGATTAAAACTAAACTCACATTAATCAAAAAAAAAAGTTTCCATTGGAAGGAATATCTAAAACAAAAAAAAACAAACCTCTTGTACTATTTGTTGTTGGAAAAGTGGCACTAGGGGACTCATCCTTGGAATGTCAATGTGAATCTACACAATATATATAAACAATTAGCTCCTTTTTTCATTTCATCTATTTTTCATATTTATAAGTTTGTTTTACTGCATTAAAGATACATAAGAAAAGTCCTATAAACCACATGTAGACACATATACTATGTGTGGCTGACTGAACAATAATGTAACAACTAAAATATCCCCAAGTCATAAAAACAACAAAGCAAGAATGGCATTAAAATGAAGATCTTCTGAATGCATGTTTATAACTTCTCTAGTTTACATTGGCTTCTGATCAAAACAAGTTGCTTACACAGATATGAACTGAAAATCAACTAAGCAATGAAGTAGCTAATTTAATACAATGTTCTTACTTATAATGATTAAAATGCATTGTTTTGTCAGTTAGGTACCATCACCATTAGCAATATATCTGGCCAGCTGAGGTCAGCTAACAATGCAACATAACCTTTATAATAAAAATATATAGCAATGAAAGTAACATTAAATAGTGTATAACTTACATAACACACAAACACTAATGTTATGACTTAACTCCAGAATTATCAATAGATTTGCATCAACTTTTTAAACATATATTTTTAACATACTGTGGTGGATCCATGAAGTTGTTGATTACAGGGTCTCTAATAACACACAAAAACTACTACCAATATTGCAATTTATCACACTAATTACTACTGGGATAACAGCTAAAACATAAAATTATTCAATGCAATATGAGGACCCACCCCACCAGTAGTGAACAGCGTAAAAGCAAGTCGGTAATGTGAGGATTAACCAGTGCACAGCATAATTTTAATTTTTCAGTCATTCTTATATTGAAGTGTAAATGACTCAATAATAATTAATATACAGTCATACTGCTTAATCATATTTCATCAACCTTTATTCATTCATTCACAGTATGAAATAATATACATCTACCTACATGTATAATGTGACTTAAGTTGCTCTGTTTTGAAAGTGTAAACATGGTATCACTACAAGAACATACCTATTTTGTTTAGATCAAAGATTTTATTGAATAAATTTCAGTAAACACTTTTGAAGGAACCATATCTGGTTGATCCTCCAAAGCATCACCTTATTTTGAAAGAATTTTTATGAAAATGCCCATACACAGTGGTACACAGACTGACTAGAAAACCTGGGTTCCCTATATGTGCTCTGTTGAAGAGGTGATTTGATATTAATTTGTCTAAAAGAAAGAAAAATGTACATTTTTCTAAGTTATAGATTGTAATTGTAATTTAGTAAATGAATGCTGTTTTTATTTACATAAAATAATACCAAAAAAATTGTAAAAACTTTTTATATTGCAATGCAATTGTTAGTATACCTGTAAAGTGAGCAAACTTAGTGTACCATACCTATTATAGTTGTGGTATAACAGATCATACCAGAACTACTTTTTAACATTGTCTAGCATTTCACAGGTAGTAAGGTGCTATTGAAAACTGATCATTTTTGTAAAAGACTATCTGAAGCAAATATTCATTCACTTAGGTCACAAATATATGTTCAGATCAGGGATTTAGAACTCTAAGATGGGAATATTCCTTATACTAACAAGCAATACCCTAGCCATAGTAAGCAAAATGTGGCTTCTTCTAACAGGTGAGAATCCATGAACACGAAGGTCAATGGCAAAAGATGTCCACACGATCCACACAACAGTACACAATAGAATCAAGAAGAATCTCTGACTGGAAAAGTGTCACAAGTTGCTTCCACAACATATTTGTTCAACTGTCACATACATCAAGCAGCTGGAAAATGAATTGGGTATTCATGCTGTTCCATTCAAGTTACTGAATGCAGCAGCTATGGATTCTTTTGTGCTGGGAAAAAAGTTTCCTTATATATTAGATGGTTAATGGAAAGCTTCAGGGAGGAGTGGTGTGATTTGGACGTGATGACCTTATGACAGAACTTTTTGCAATGGAGATTATGCAGATAGAACATGCCTGGACATGAAAACATGGACTGTAATAATGTGTTGAGGCTCTGAAATCATTTTAATATATTATACTCAACCTGTGTATTTCCCACTTTATAATGGAGAAAAAGTCCAAGTGGAAAAAATGTATAACCTTAGGTATCCAGGATACAGTCATTTTTACTGAACAGCAAAGAATAAGTATTATATAGAACTATCAAAATCAAAAATGTATTAGAATAATTACTTATCATAGTAAGAAAAGTATCTAAATCTAATTCCTGCAGCTTACCTGTCTGTGCGTCTCCTGATGTATATCTTGGAGTCGAGTATTATAATACTGTTTGATATAGTTGAAGTACTCTTCTCGTTTCCTTTCTAATGTTGATTCTCTCCTATCACAGTTGGCAGGGAGGTAGCCCTATGAATTAATAGCTTAGTTACTGAGATGATGATAAATAAGTCTAGGCCTGTCTACATGTCACATTCTATACTTTCATATCATCAGAGAGCTGCATTATGCAAAACAGACTACTAAATACTGTTTATCCCGATATGAAAGTTATGTTAAACTATAAAGAAGGATTTGGCAAATCATTAGTGTAAATAACCACTAATACAAGATTGTTATAAAATTGTAGTTTCTACATTAGGGGATCAGAGTTAAATCCACAGAAATGTGTGAAAATTTGCTGATATTTTTCAAAGTGTCAATACGATTGCTGAAAATTTTATTTCTCACATACTGAAAAAAAAAGTGACCTAAACTTTAATGATTCACTAAACAATAGAATGTCTTTACTTGCTGAAACATTCATAAATTTTCCCCAAAACAGAAATATTCATTTTACTTCATCTGAAAGATTTTAATGAGCTTCATCTAGCTGTTAATTGAAGATAAGGTTTCATCTGCTGGAGAATGCCTTCATCATATTGAAACTTATCTCCAAACAGAAGGATGAAGTGTGTTAAGATCTTTTAGATGTATTCAATTTTATTTTTATCGCACACTTGTTTTCCATAAGTATTAACTCAGTGATGCCTTAACATTATTAATACAATAATAGTTGTACCTTGTCATAGTTAGAAGAAAATGATTATCCCTTAACTGAGTTAAGCAATGCATTATTGCTCTAGTTGACTGTTTCAATATATTGTTGCTCTAGTTGATTGTTTTAATGTATTATAGCTCTAGTTGATTGTTATACTGTATTATAGCTCTAATTGTATGTTTCAAATTATTGGAGCTTTAGTTGTTTGTTTTAGTGTACTATTGCTCTAGTTGACTGTTTTAGTGTATTGTTGCTCTACTTGAATGTTTTAATGTATTATAGCTCTACTATAATACATTGAAACAATCAACTAGAGCAACAATATATTGAAACATTCAACTAGAGTAATAATACACTAAAACAAACAACTAAAGCTCGAATAATTTGAAACATACAATTAGAGCTATAATACAGTATAACAATAAACCTCTAGTTGATTGTTATACTGTATTATAGCTCTCATTGAATGTTTCAATGTATTATAGCTCTAGTTGATTGTTATACTGTATATTATAGCTCTCATTGAATGTTTTAAGGTATTGTAGCTTTAGTTGTTTGTTTTAGTGTATTATTGCTCTAGTTGAATGTTTCAGTGTATTGTAGCTCTAGTTGATTGTTTGATTGCATTATTGTTCCAGTTGGCTGTTTGAATAATTGCTTAATGCCAACAGTAAATTCATGAAGAAAATACTAGCAATTATATTTAGTGAAATATATATACTTGAAAATTACGGAATAAAGATCTAATTAGCAACTATTACTTTTTTAATGACTTGTTTAGTTTTTGATATATTTCTTTTGTTTTTATGTTTGTTTGTTTGTTTTAGTAGAGACCTAAATAATGGGCTATATGTGCTCTGTTCACCATGGGGAATTGATTCTTGTATTTTAGTTCTGTAAGTCCATAAAGTTATCACTGACCAAGTGTCTTTTGTTTTCTTAAGCTATTACCTATGATCTTATAATTGGTGAGGTTCATTAGATTCATGCTGCAATGACACAGCTGAGATAATGTAACCAATTGAGAAAAAGCATTGTCCAACTTACTTACAGCTAACAATCTCCACGTTATGGGTCTCACTGCTGGTGGAATTCCTGACCAGCTTAATTCTTTTAGTTCTTCTGTGACAAGATTTAAAGTCAGAAAAATATGTTAAAAAATATTTTTTTATTTGTTATTTAAAAAATGGCCAAAACCTAAAACACAGTAACCATTAACACTCATAACTAGGAAACTTACAAATCAGATATTATGGATTATTGAAATTAAGAACAGGTTTTGAATTTCTGTTAAAAGATTATAATCCACAGAATGTAAATAAGAATGTATAGTTTCATGGAGTTCAAACCCATCAAGAAACAAAAAAACTAACTCCAATAAATACCAAAAGAAAAAATAACCTATTACTTTAAAGCATCCATATATATATATACACACACACACACACACACATCTAAGCGTAAATGGTGTAGTCCAATGGACTGGAGAAGGAATGTTGAATATAATTTTGAAATTCCTATGCATATTTACACAAAATTTTTGTTGTGTACAAAAATCAGATGTGTTACAGAAGTACCTGCACTCAACATGTGTATGTAAATTGACGACATAATTCTGACTTGACTATGACAAGTCAGAGTGGAAGGTGATGTTTAAAGGAAGAATAAAATTCCTTTTGTCCATTGTACAGTTTGCATATTGCATTTTCATATCCTCTAGAACCTCCAAAATGCATATCTACAGTTTTCAGTATCCTTATTTACTGTATCTATTATTTACTCTCCTCTACTACAAATATCAAATACATAATACCAGGTTGAATGGCACTCTGTAAAAGGTCATGACATGCATACTTTGACTCTAACCTGAGCACATAGGGTTAAGGATAAAATAAATGTACCTATTCTTCTTCAAAATTTCAAGCCTCTAAAAATGCAGGTTGAAGTTACATAATGTTGTATTTGTTTTATTTATTGTTATTTTAATGTCCACGTAATTCTCTGAATTTCATGCTACACAATATTTACTTTAACAACAAAGAAATAAACATATGGTATAATGGAAATATTACTTTGTTCATAACCTAAGAGCAAACAGGAATGAAAAGCAACTACCTGTTGTAAAAAATAAGTGTAGAAGATGACATTTCAAAAGTCTTTAGTATTCAGGTCAGTGTGTGTAAGATGTTGCAGGTCTTTATAGTATCCTGGTGGATTGTGATTGGTTTGTTTATCCCTGGTTCTAATTGGTGAAAATACTGCACAAGGTTTCATCCAATGGTAGCCATAGATTGCTCACCTCTAATCCCAAACCTCTGGCAGAACAATTTCAACATAAAACTTACTCCATCCTCAGGAATGCCAAGAAACCAAAACATAACATCACTAGACAGGAATATAATGCACTGAGCCGTCTAAAATGGGACGACACAATCAAGATTCTACCAGCTGACAAAGGAAACAGTACAGTTGTTGGACATACAAGACTGTTTAGTGTAAGAGTTATTATTTAGTTCATTTAGTGATTTAATATTTAATGATTATTTAGTTTTTATAACAAGAGTGTTAAAAGTTGATTATTTTAAAAGTGACAGTTATGACACGTTTAGTTATTTAACTCGGTATGAGTTATACTTTGTATATGAAGTCTAATTGTTATAGGCTTTTGTAGTGTTGTTGATGTCATCTTTCATGAAGCTTCTAAGCTTTTCTCATTATGTTTAGTATTGTTACTACTAGAGGGCTAGATAAATACGTGCAGATATAGAAAATTAAGTCTGAAAAAGTGAAGTTAGTAAAAGTGAAGTTAGACTGCATGATTGTTAGTTCAGCCGTAATGGGTGATATCTAAAGTGAGTTTCACAGTTTAATAGAGATAAAGGTGAATAATTTTTCTTGTCAAACTTTGTTCTAAAGTAATTGAACCCACCTGTGTAGACTTTGACGAAAAGGAGACAATTAAAGTTCTGGATACAACTGTGGTAACCCATGGGGTAACACAAGTGAATCTATCACAGATTGTACAGTAAGAAACAGAGTAGAGAAAAATAATTTGTCTTGTCAATTGAGTTCTAAAGTAACTGAACTAGTCTGTGTGGACTTTTGACAAGAAAAGAGAATTATTTATAGTTTTTGAAACAACTTTGATATCCTATAGTGTAAATAATGTTTTGTACATATGTTTGACTTATTTTGAATATATTATTTTAAAACAAGTGGATTGTGTGCTGTTTGTTTATTGTTCGAATTTATTGCCAACAAGCCACAGACACCTACTGTAAAGATTCCAGTACCATAAAACTGACAATAGTCATCCTAGACATCAATGATTATGACATCAAGATCAAGCAGTTACCAATACACAATCAATAATGACCCTACGAAAAAGACTGAGAAACTCATCAATAGAACACTAAACAAACTCAAGAAACAAATATTAATCAACAAAAATCTAGCCAAAGACTTAAGAACCAATGACAGCTTTCCCCCACAGTTTTACAGATTACCTAACAAACCTAATATACCTCTAAGACCTATTGTCAGTACTATAAACTCACCTTGCCATCAACTAGCTACTTTCTTGGCACTTATCCTATCTCCACTATGAGGGAATACTGAACATCAGGTTCACAACTCATAGAACAACTCACAAAGTTACACATCAGATCTCAGGATATTCTTGTTAGTTTTGACATCACAGACCTATTCCCTAATGTTCCAACCTCAGAAACCTTTCATATCACCAGGAAACAACTGCTCAATGAGAACTCTACCATACAGAACTGATATGAAGATAGATGCTATCACAGAACTAATGACTAATTGCTTCCTTACTTCCAATACAACGAGGAATTCTACAAACACACGGACGGTCTAGCTATGGGTTCACCACTCTCTCCAGTCTTAGCATGTAAGACTTTGAAAAAAGAGCCCTCTCATCCACACATATAAAACCAAGTTTGTACAGATGCTATGTTTATGACACCTTTGTTATCTAGCCCCATAGTCATGAAACTTAGCAGCTTCCTAAAACATTGTAATTCTATAGCCAATAGAATCCACTTCACCATGGAAATAGAGCAACAAGACAACCTACTGTTTCTTGACATATTCATCAGCAGACAAAAAAGGAAAATCACCACTACTGAATAAAGAAAACACACCCACACTGACAGATACCTACATTTCCAGTCCTATTATCCAACCTCGGTAAAATGTAGTATATTAATTCAGTGCCTAAACAAGAGGGCAAAAAGCATTTGCAATGAGACATCCATCAATACAGGATGTCAAAAGATCACAGTATTTTAAATAGAATGGTTACACCTCCACCTTCATCAAAAACTCTCTGAAGAAGACCACAACAGAAAGAAAGGATATGAAGAACATTACTACTACCATTTACCTCCCATATATGCAAAATTTGAGTGAAAAACTCAAACACATAGTCAAGAAGTTCAACACAGATGTTACAGTAGAAATCTTACAAGTCAATAAGATCCATTCTAGAGAAAACCAAACAGAAACCTACTAATGAAAAAACACAAAAAAGTCATCTATGAAATTCCAGACTCCCATGATGAAATATACATTAGAGAAATGGGAATAAGACTTGAGACAAGAAAAAAGAACACAAGGACAGCACAAGAATCATGAAAATACAAAATTCAGCTCTTGCAGAACACACCATCTCAACTAGACAACTGTCAACTGGGAGAAAATGTGAATCACTGACACAAACAAATTTTGGAAAAACTAGAAAAAGAATCTTTCGACATTAACACCAAAAAGCCTCAGAGATTTGGGATTAGAGTAGAGCAATCTATGGCTATCATTTGTTGAAACCTCATGCAGTCTTTCCACCAATCAGAACCAGGGTTAAACAAACCAATCACAACACGTTCTCCACAATGTACCAGGATACTACAAAGACCTGTCACAACTTAAACACACTGACCTGAAAGTGCAATACAGAAGACTTTTAAAACATCATCCTCTACACTTGTGTTTTTACAACAAGCAGTTGCCATCCATTCCAGTTTACTCATCATAAATACTCTGCATAAACAATCTATGATCTAAGAGATTTCAAAATTAGGCAAAATACTTTATTTCAACTTATATTTTTTTTGTTCTTCTTCTTAACATTTCATGCTTATTAATTTCTGGTTTGAAATTATGGTCTACTTCTTCAACAAGACACTATTTTAAATTAATATTCCAATTATCTGCATTATGTTTGTGACATTTAAGCTTCTGCAAACCTAAATCAGTGTTTGGTCCACTCAGCAGAGATTTGAACTTCTGCAGCCTTTGTATTTCTCGCTGTGAAGTTCTGGACTGTAGGTATTTAATGTGAGCCCTTGGGTGTGAAGTTGGAGGTATCATACAGTGCCGTATGCCTCGTCCTGGCCCCTGAAGTCGCCATGAAGATAATTGCTGATGACCACGGCAAGAAGAGACTGTTAAAGAAAACAGAAGATACATTATTATATTTTGTCACAACAGTAGCAAAATAAATAAAATCATCAAGGTTTTAAAGACTTACTGTAGAATTCTATACACATTTATCTCAAAATTGGATGTAATGAACTACACAGTTATAAAAAAAAAGTTACAAAACAGCCAGGGAATGCTAATACTTACATTTACTTATAATTATAACATATTACTTAATCATAAATATTATAAAAACAGTAATATCTGACAGACCTAATAATCATGACAAAATATTTGATTGGTTAATAACACAGTAGCGTGAACATATGCAATATGAACTGAATAGTGATTAAATTCTCATATGAAAAACACTATTTCAGATAATAAAGTGTATATAAGAATGCATTTGTGTTTGGAACATAAACAAAGATGTTCCTACTGTCTGCACCTTATAAAACACAAGGAATTATCAAACTGATGCACCAAAACATTAATGCTAAAATTAAAAAGTCCTTACTAAAGTTATAATTTTCCTATACTGAAAATGTATTCCTGATAGATTAGCTATTCTCATTCAGTACTGCCATCTATATGCAAAATTTTTCTTTACACATGCCACAAGCCTTCTGCTCTCCCCCCCCCTGTTGGAATTACTATATTCCAACATGTCTATCATGTAAATCATCATGTGTCATCTCTTAACCAATAGTAGCATGATATGCTCATGTAATGCACATGACTCCCTCTCCACTCCTCTACCAAACTTTCACTTTAAAATTTGGCAGAAGGTGTGAGAACAAGAGAAGTGGGGAGAAAGGGTCGGAAGTGTGAGATGAGGTAAGTACCTATCGGAAATACATTTTCAATATAGGAAAATTATACCTTCCGATACGGTACTTATCTTCTCTCACAAGATTAGCGAGAATCCCACATTTAGAAGGAGGAGGAGGGAACGTAAGAAGTATCCTCGTAAGTGTCTGAAGGATACCCCTGACAATGAGAGAGATAGATCTGAAGATCAGAAGAGGTGAACCACACCATTTCAGAGCCAGGTATACTCTTCCCCATGTGTGGAATGTGTAAGACATAAAAGAGGAAATTGAGAGGTGTAGAGTGGCTAGGGCGGGGCAGATTGTAAGTCAACTACATCCAAAATCTCCTTGCGAGAAGAAAAGGCGAGAGGAGAAGAATGACAACACTGGAGAAAATGCAATGGGTGACCACAAAACCTTACTTTGAAAAGCAGGCCATACTGAGTTATTCACCCCAGACATGGCAGGGATGGGCAGAAAGCCCTCTCTGCTTTACATATGCAGTCCATGGGTGGTACAGTCTGGGACGGGCATTTTTATTCACCTCAAGCAATCTTGTGGAACACCCCATCTCAACGGTGAGCATGCAAAGTCATGGAAAATAAAGAGTGAGTCAACAAGGCTATAGTGTACTAATTTACAGAGAGGGATCCATGTGATAAAAAAGAGATAAAGGCCCCTGAAAGAATATATGAATAAAACTTACCAGTTAAAGTCACACCAAAGTCTCGAGAACAGCCACAGAAGAAGACAAGAAGTGAGGGAAAAAGTTGGATGTAGGATCTGATACGAGAAAACCTGGAACAAAGAAGGGAAGAATAGGCCAAATGAACCAAAAGGCTGACCCAATTAGTAAGGGTAGAAAGTGCAAGATCACAAAGGGAAGAGGATTGCCATGGGATAAAAAATTGGTTGCATGTACCCCAAAAGGGAGCAGTACATGCCACATAACAACGAATGGCCTTGAGCAGACACAGAAGCCTATCCGGATCTGGTCTAGGGTAAAAATGGGATATAGAAGGAAGGGATATAGGTGAAAAGGATGAACAACCATCTGGAGCTGCCAAGGTGTTAAGGAGGAAGGAATGATTGGAATAAAGGAGAAGATAGGTGATGGTGATAAAGGGTACGTGAAACATTGATGGCATAGAAATACAACCTTCAATGTCCACAGGCTAAGAGAATAAGGAAATATGTTTTAAGGAACAGATGAAACAAGGTACACGACGAAAGTGGTTCAAATGGAGGTAAATTGCATGGAGAATCACATTAATGTCCTAATCTGGAAGGGATGAACATCTGGGAGGTCAATGTATCCAGAAGGAATGCATGAGCATGGTAAGAACAGGGGAAATACAACCTTACAATATCGGGAAAAATGGAAAGTATGGGATAGAGCTGCCCGATATCCAGAAAATGAGAAGACCTGAGACCCATGGTTGAACAGCCATGTGAGCAATTCCACCACAAGAGCCACAGCAGGAAACTCCCTATTAGCAGACCAACAGCAGAATACTTTCCACTTGCATTGCCGTGGAAGATGGCTGTATGGAACAAGCTACAAAGGATGCAACTTGACATATGAAACAGGATCGTCTCTCCATGGACCAGACTAAAGCCAGGCATGAAGATGCAGGACATGGAGATTGGGAAGTAAAATGTGGGAACAAGGTTGACAAAAAAGGGAGGGAAAAGTGGAAAAGGGACAGGTGGTGATAGGAGCAGATCTTGTAGCCTTGGAAACCAAGGTTGAGCTGGTCACTAGGGAGCAATCAGGAGGACCTGACACAGAGTGGAGTGGACAAGAGAAATCACTCGATGAAGCAATCAGATGAGAAGGTACACATAAAGATTGTGTGGCCAATCCTGTCTGAAGGCATTGACTTCCAAAGCCTGTGGATGCAGTACAGGTGACCAAAAATAGGGGCAGCTTGGTATTGAGGCCCATGGCAAAGGCATCCAATTGGGGAAAACCCTAATGATGGCAAAGATCCCTGAAAATAAGAGGATCTAATGCTCGCTCCATTCGATATATTTGGCTGGGGTGCGACAGATTGAAAGCACCTGGCACATGACATGTGATAAGGCAAATGTGATGTGCATGAGCCCAGTACAATAGATCCAACATCCAAAAACACAGATCTCTGGAACAGGTGTCCCCTTGATGGTTGATATGTGCCACCACCATAGAATAGTCCAAATGAACCATCACCAGACAATGATTGGCAAGAAGAAGAAAATGATGCAATGCCCAACATACTGCTAGAAGTTCGAGAACGTTGATATGCAAGGCGGTTTTGTTCACAGACCAACGGTCCAAAGATTCCTGGTGATTGACCCATGCCCCCATCCCTAAAAGGATCCATCCATGAAAAAATGTAGATTCAGACATGGGAGAGGAAGTGGCACACCTGTCGACGTATGGGCTTTATCCAGTCACCAAAGCAGATCATCTCACAGGGATGTAGAAAGGGAAATGGGAGTGGAAAGAGGATCCTGAACAAGGCTCTATCAATCGTGAAGTGCCCACTGGAGGGATATCATATGGGCACAACCTCAATGGACTAGTGCAGTCATGGAGGACCACATTGCCAAAAAGTGATAGAACCTCGTGAGCAGGAAGTGACTGAGCCGAGAGGGTATGGTGAACCAAAAGTTCCATGGACCAAAAACATACAGGAGAAGGCAGAGCAGAACTGATATTTGTGTCCAAAAAAGACTCCCAAGTGGACAAGATATTAAGTGGATCAGAGGCATGACTTCTCCAATTTGATCAACCAGCCCACCCAAGCCACCACAGAAAGGAGTAGGTGAGTGTGAGTGGCCAATTCTTGCTTGGAATGAGCCAGTCATCCATGCAATAATTAAATCGCATCCCCAGAGCATGGAGATGACATGCAAAAGCTTGGACTATGTGACAAAACACATAGAGATCTGAGTCAAATCCAAAGGGGAGGGCCCAAAATTGGTAAACCAACACAAGATGGACAAACCGAAGGTAAGGTCAGGACTGATGTGCTATCAGTATGAGGAGGTAAGCATCCATCTTTGTCATCCACAACCTTGAGGGAAAAGGCTATCTCAGAGTGAGAAAATACTTCATGGTGAACTTGGGGAGTATGAGTAGTTGAGGTGAGATAAACTGATGACTGGCTGCCAATCTGTATTTTTCTTGGGGAAAACAATAAGACGGGAATAATACCCCCCCCCTGGAAGGATGGTGAACCGGTTCGATCGCCCGCTACAAAAGCAATTCTTGAACTGCTTCTGACAGACATTGGTAGGTCACAGGATCTTGAGAAGGAGGGAGGGAATGGGGCAAAGAAAGATGGGAAGTGGGAAATGAAACTGGATAACAAATCCTTCTGACAAAACCCATATTACCCATTGATCAACTACAAAGAGATGCCAGTGAGGAAGAAACTCTAATAGCCAAGCTCCCACCAGACCTGAACCTATAGGGTAGTCACCGGTACTGTTCACGACAGGGGTTGTGTCATCGAGGAAATTGACAAGAAGAAATACCCAAATTAGAAGGAACGGATAAGGGTTGGGAGGATGAAGGACAGGAAATGGGAATAGGTGGCATATGAGGCTCTGACTGAGACAAACAGGCTACAAAAGTCGTAAGGGTTGGTTGCTGGCAGACTGATGTCACCCGAGGCTTGATAGTTTCTGAGACTGTATCAATAACATAACATCTCAGAAAAGGTGCAAGACATTTACGTAAATCCCTGAGATAGGTTGAGCATAAATTGACAAAGGTTGACCCATGTAGCACTAAATCTCCCGTTGTATAAAAGCAAAAAGATCCACGTTGGGTTGCATGCACCTGAGGCCTGAGAAAAAACATTGGTCATTGGTGCCGAAGTGGTAAGATGAATTTCTGAATTTATAGCACAAGAAAAGGTTCACAAAAGTTGAATGGAGAAATAGAGTAACAAGATTGAATTGGTATAAAATAAAATAAAGTCAAAAGGAACTACTTCATGTGAAAAGACAAATAAAACAAATTTGTTTGTCACACTGAAAGCACTAGGCACGTAAAAGAGTGCATTGTAATTGAGATGCTGCCAAATGAGAAGTGAAACTTCAGTAGAGGAATGTAGAGGGAGTCACATGCATCACATGAGCATATCATGCTACTATTGGTTAAGAGATGACACATGATGATTTACATGAGAGACATATTGGAATATAGTAATTCTAATGGGTGGGAGCAGAAGGCTTGTAGCATGCATAAAGAAAAAGTTCACATATAGAGGGCAGCAATGAATAAGAGTAGCTAATATTGTGAAAGAAGGTACATACCGTATCAGAAGTGTAACATTAACAGGACATGTTTTTATCAAAATGGTTAGATTACAGTCAAGAGTAATGAAATGTTCCCATGTTAAAGATAACTAAAGAAACACAATTAATTAAAAGTTTAGATACATTATTAAACAGTTGTGTACTACACCGACTGGTAAGAGACAGTATGCATTTCTTTATTATTCTACTTTAATTAAGGATGGCAGTATAGTGGCATTTTTGATGGATACACGTTAAGAGATGTTTCTCATTATCACTATAATGCATATAAAACAAGAGTGAGATAAAAATGTTGTCATCTACAAGTGAAAAATAAATTTTAAGTCAACATAGGAGAATCAGTTGTTATAATTGGCTGCATACAATAAATAATATACAAGCACATTAATGAAATAATAAATGGTCAGTATATTAAACTTCGGTCATATAGTGAAAGACAGATAAATTCAATGAAACAAGTATCGACAGAGTTCCATGATGAAAAGAAAACTGAAATAACTTAAGAGATATTATTTAACGAAATGATGATTAATTTAATGGACAGCAGAATAAACACTGAAAAGCTGAGACATTCTGACTTATCTCACTACAAACAGGATTTAAATACATTTTGTTTTGCAATCTCCTGTTTAATTAAATGTATCTGGAAACATCTGGTAAAAATTCCAAGACCCCCAATACTATTCTCAACAATACACAAACTCTTATTGTGCTTTGATAAAAGATGACTTTTGGTTTGTTTTATGTTTTATTTTATTTCTCTAAATAAAACTTTACAAAATTCTTGTTAATTTGAAAGCTGTCCTGTAGTGTTTGATAAAGTTCCAAGTGAATTTGCTTCTTTTTTTGTTGCCACACACATATGTATTTTTTTCACTTTTTTAATGTTCTGTTTTTAAGGTCAATAGCTTTTGGTTATTTGTTTGCTTGGTCTGAATTTCATGCAAAGCTACACGAGGGCTATCTGCACTAGCCGTCCCTAATTTAGCAGTGAAAGACTAGAGGGAAGACAGCTAGTTATCACCACCCACCACCAACTCTTGGGCTACTGTTTTACCAACAAATAGCAGAATTGACTGTCATATTATAATGCATTCATGGCTGAAAGAATGAGCATGTTTGGTGGGAATAGCATGAGATTTCAGATTTTAAAAGTAAAAGTCAGTATATAAATTAACCCTTGAGTATAGAAAGAAATTATATGAGAAAATATTTTTTGATAGCTTACAACACAGAACATTTGCCCCACAACAGCAAGAAATTGTGCAATAATATAAAAATCAATTGTATGAAGCTGCAGGTTATACGGTAAACTACCACAGATGTACGACCTTAAACCAATATAACATGACAACAATAGTAACTAAGTTACTTCTACTCTCCTTACATTTCATACCTTTCTGTAAAGCAGTGGCCCGAATATTGGACAAGTCTGAATCATCTGCTTTCCTTGTGACGTCTGCTTCTCCAGCAGATGCTGATCGAATATGGACAGCTGTGACAATTCTGCTTCGTCCACTGTGTTTACTTATCACGTTAGTGGCTGCTGACTGATTAACTTGGGGATGAACCACATCTAGAAAAATATTTCAATGATTCCAAGAGATTGTGTTAAATTTTGCTACTTACAAAATACTTTTTACTGTAAATGATGATTTAACGTTTGTCTCTCCAAGTTTAAGAATTTTTATTAGAAACAAAGGCTAACAATACTCTGTTTAACCTATTTAATGGTGGAAAAAATAATCTAAATTTTAGTATTTTGATATTCAGAAAAGAATCAATTTTAGTTCTAAAATTGAAAAGGAATGGACAGGAATACAAATCCCATTGTTCAAAAAATATAAATTTCGCCCCCACCCCATTATCAAAATCATTTGAACAGGGCACTTTTCAAGAGTAAGACTTCACTGATTGATTAATCTTTGATGAACGTGTACATATTTGTACCGATTCTTTCTAGGCCAAATATTAACCATCAGCCACTGACAAAGACTAACCCCCAAAAAAAATCCCAGATTAAAGAACATTGTATTCTTTATTATCATTAACAAAGAAGTTTTAATAGTTTCATAAAACAGATTAACTTACACATACACACACTAACTCATGTAACAAGACTAAGCTGATGTCTCAGGCATAAAAGATGTTTTACCTGAGGCTTGCTATTAGTTTGTGGTTTGTACATATGTTCTGTGAGGTACGAGACTATTAGTACCTATATAAATATATACAAATGGTGAAGTTACTTACACTAAGGGTTTGGACTCTGGGAGCAAAAGTTAGTTTTAAAGCCTAGCATGCAGTGTGAACAAAAAGTCTGAAATGTGGAAATGACAGGATATTAGATGGGTGGGGGTGAGAGAAAGGAGTGGGAAGGTGAGGAATTGGAAGTTTTGATATAATGCAGCCCCACATTAAACACAATCCCATTTTTTGGAACCAACTATTGTATTATCTCTCATTCAAAACATCATGCATCAACTCTCCACCAAAAGAAGAGCACTACTATCACGTGATGCATGTGACTCCCTATATGCACCACTACCGAACTATCACTTCGAAGTTTGGAAGAAGACACAAGCACCAGAAGATATATAACTTACAATTCGATACCTTCCCTCTTCTCACAAGATTAGCTTGAATCCCACATTGAAAAGATGGAGGGACCAGTGTGAGAGAAGAACAGGTATATCCTCCAAAAGCATCCAAAGGACACCCCCTGAGAATGAGAGAAACAGACCAGGTGATCTGAGGAGGGGCACCGCACCACTTCTGAACTAGGTATATCTTCATCATGAACAGGTGGGATCAAAATATGGTGGAATATGAAAGGAGCATATTCACGTGGGAGAGGATAGGTCAATAATGTGATCCTAATCAGAGAAACAGATACACTCAATCCCACATAATAAAAGTGGGTAATGGAGGATGTGTCCCATGGTGTAGAGTGGCTAGAGTATGTCAGACCGTACTCGCTAAGCCAACTACACCCAAAACTTCACTCGCTGTGTACCGACATCCACGAGAGGGTAGGATGAGGATCATACCATTTTCACCTCAAGCCCTAGAGTCATGAATGTACATATAATTTCCACTCCAGGAAACGTCACAAAATGAGCATTGAGTTAGGGACCTGAGAATGTGTCATTCGGTAGCTGAGGAAAGTCCACAGCAAGCAATCAACCCCCACGACCGTGAAACTGGTCTGAATATCCTCATCATTCTGAGAATGAAAGAATGACTAGGTCAGAAGCAGAAATAGGCCACATAGACCTCCTGTAACCCACAACACAGAAGTTAGAGTCGAGGAGGGAAGATGGGCGACCTGAAACCTGTGTGAGGACGTATGTGATTGGTTCACTCTATCTCCAAAACCTCACTCACGGGAGGGTAGGAGGAGATCACCCAATCGGAGGGGTGAACTACATTTAGGCATTTCACTTCAGGCATGTATAACTCATCCAGAGGATCTTGTAATTCCTTCTGCACCAAAAGAACACCACTGCCCTACTCTGAACTGAATGGTTATAACCATCTTTGTGGAACCCATTCAGCAGGTCAACCACCCCAGCAGCTATCTTAAACAGCAGAACATACCAACTTATTCAGTCGAAGCATGGTAGTGATGGGCAGCATTTCCCTTCTGCTTTACCCATGCCATCCATGGGTGATATGGTCAGGGACAGGCATTTTTATGAAGCAAACTTGACGATGTTATTCACACTCTAGTGATCTTGTGAAACACCCCATCTCAAGGGTGAACATGCATAGCCATGAACAAAGTGCATGAATCAACATGGTGTACAGTGTGGATTTGTGATTTTGTTTGTTTGAGTATAAATATATCTGAGAATGGTCATAGTCTTCTAAGTGGAACACTCTCAGTGTTTACAAAGAATACCTGGTCAGGCACCACTCGCCACAGAGCAGGATCCAAAGGAAGTTGAAGCAAGGGACCCTGAAAGAAAAGAAAGCATAAGGAAGGACTTACCTTGTGTCAATGCTATACCAAAGTCTGTAGAATAGCTACAGGTGGCAGGCAATACCACAAGGAAGCATAAATCGTGATGTGGTGTAAGTAATGGGAGATGAACTTGTGCGGAGTCGTCCAAATGCCCGACCGTAGAATCTCCTCCAATGGCCGACAAAGACGAGAAGGTAAAGTGTCGGATTTGATAGGAAGACACAGGAAAGAGATCATGCTGGGAGGGGGACAAGGAGGAATAAGCCAACTTGATCAAACGATAAAACCCAACTGGTCAGGGTAACAGGGGAAAGATTACAGGAGGAGGAAGTTTGCCATAGAATAAAGAGTTGGGAATGAGAACCACAGAAGGAAGCCATACATGCACATACTGGGCAGAGGAGTCTATCCAGAGCAGGATGAGGATAGAGATGAGAGATAGAGGGAAGGGAGATAGGGTAAACAGAGGAATGACCTTTGCGAGCCTCTGAGGTCTGGAGAAGGAATGCATGATCCGAATAAAAGGATGAGATAGGTTGAATGATACAACGTCCTGGTGACATCGAGAGTGAAAATATCCGATCCACAATGCCTGCAAGCCAATAGAAAGAGGAAATATGCTTTAAGGGAGAGGTGAAACAAGAAACAGGAAGACATGGTTCGAACAAAAGTAAAGTAAGGGCATGGAGGACCACATTAATGTCCCAGTCCAGAAGTGTTGGATGTTTCGGCAGCTAATGGAGCTGGAAAGAATAGATCAACATGGAAAGGACTGGGGAGGAAAAGACCCTGCAGAAATGGGATAAACAGAAAGTATGGAATAGGTAGAGTACTGCCTCGGAAGACACTGGCATGACCAGGGATTCCGAGGAGGAGGAAGGAAACAGGAGAGAGGTAGAAAAGGGTATGATGAAACCCTCTGATAGAACACCATGAACCCGAACTTTGGAGAGGAAGGGGCTGCTTCTATCAACGAAATTT